GTTTAATTCCAAATGTCTTTTAAGATGGGTTCCCTTATTTTCATTTATGAAAATGTAAATGATAATACTTTTGTGAATAGAAAGTAGAGGTGTTCTTATGACTTGGAAAAATACTAGTCCATAATTACCTAAATTGGAAGAGAATTACCAGCAGAATTTCAATGAGTCACCGATCAAGAAAGTTCAAAAAATCTTTTTTTGTTTATCCAGACTGTACATACATGGACATTTATGATTGGTTAAAACTCTTTATTCTATGCAATAAGGACATAAGGATATGATTAAGACTACATGATAATTCATTATAAACACCAATTAATCAATAGATTGCTTAAATCCTTAAAAAATAAGGAAAACCATCTTTAACAGTCTTAAACCTGTACAGTCTGCAGCAGCCCATAAATCCAGATGTAAAGAGGATCGAATCTAAAAGGCTATGAAAGCTGTGACAAAAAAATATTTCCTTTAGAAGGCTGATTTTCATTACAGTGTCGCTTGTATAGCTGTAACCCCATCTAAAGAGTCATTTTTATTCATTTAACCAAAAACTGTAGCAAGTTTACTGACCCATACTATTGTTTACCGTTAAAATGGTCAAAACACTATAGAATATTAGATGGTCCTATTAGACGCCTATTATTTTATAATGACCGGGGTTATCAAATACTACGTTTCTGTTTACAAACATCGTGAGAATAGAATTAGACTTTTTATTGTTGTTTGATGAACTAGAGGTTGATTGTGACAAGATTTGTCGACGGATGGCTGTTTTTAAGTTATTAAGACGGACACTGTGTATTCCATTATTCATAAGATATTATATTGACCACGACAACTCGTCTTGACACGACTCATTAATTGACACGCATTGACTTACGACCAACCACCCTCAATAATGATCAAAATTATAAACGTTTATTGGTCTTATCGCACATTTGTTTTGCTGTGTGCCATTATCGATATTGAGCTATAGGCAAGTTACAGAAAAATTGATAATTTCTTTGTGGAATTTCTTCAGAATTTCTAATAAAATCGGCACATGCAGTCACTTTTACTTTGGTGTATAAATTTCTTTTAGCAATAAGGTCCGTCTGCATTTCTAGATTTGGGCACACGTGAGTATAGGAATCAGAGGAGTGTGGTTGGTCGTTTCCAAATTTTCGGCAGAATATCCGAAAGCATTGGAAGATCCCCTGCCCAAAGGCCTAGAAATTTGATCTACTCTCAGCATAGTTAATCAGGTCCATTTTCATTATTTAAGACAGCTATCCGGGCTAAGTAATATACGACCACTGGCAGCTTTGATTTAAATAAGAATATTTGGCAGTACAGTAAAAATCACCAGTATGAAAAATTTCGTCATTTCAATATCACCAAGTTTTGTCAAAATCTGACAAACCTGTAGGGAGTTACATGCATGCATTTTCAAGAACAAGGGCAATAACCGAAGTACACAAATTATTTAATTTTATTTTATTGTCATTAAGATTTATCCTCGGGTGATATTCACTAATTTCAACGAGCTTAATAGTAAATGTGCCAATTCCAAAATGATGGAACTATAGAATAAGTCTGGCATTAAAACAAATATTAGAACCACGAAGAGCCAACACAGATATTAGCGGAGCATGGAATATCAGGGGAATGTTTTGAGGTCTATGACCCAACATTCCACCATAATGATGTTTATTTTATTAAATACAATAGAAACAATAGAGAATTTGATAAGGTTAGTTTGTGTCTACATCTTCCTGTCCTCGCTCCGATAAGAAACTTAAGTGTATTTACATAGTTATTGTAGCCTTGCAAGTAACATTAAAATATCATTACTTACGATATATTATTCTCACACCTGAATCATTATTAAAGCGTAACGGACTATAACCCAGATAATCAAAATTAAAAAAAGCTTTGAAAATACATTACATTCTGCCAAACATACAAAATACTGTACTAATGCATAACCCCGATATCAGCATGAAATGAAATAGAGTTTTGCGTCCTACTTTTACAGAGTAGAGTCATTTCTCATTTGCTAAGTATCCTTGTTAAAAGGGAAATTTAGCTCTAGAACTAATCCCGATTTCTCGTTAAGGCACCTGTACATCCGGGCATTTTCTTAATTGTCTTAAACACCTGTGTATCACTTGCTTTATTAGTGTACTTTCTAATGAACCCCAACGATGTCTTGTCATGCACAATAAAACAACTGTAAGGCCTACACCAAAACTTAATTAGGCCGAACAGTTTTTTTCTGAATCAGAACATCAATGTTGTATATACGTACACCTTGAATTCAGCAGGAGTTAAAAGATTTTCCCCGCTTTTTTATGTTAGGTTTTGAGGTGAAATCATATCCTTAGGACAGGAAATAGCTGAAATAGTTGTATTAAATTACTGTAGTGTAAAATACATGTCGTTTTATCAAACCTATAGTTGTATAGACTTAACATGTATTTTAGATATTGCGTGACGTTCACCCTGGCCACAAGGTGCATATACATTGCTTTTTAAAGGGAAAGCTGCGCCATTTTGGGGGGTTGGTTGAGTCTTAAATATACGTAAATAGTCTTCACAAGTATCAAAAATAGCATAATTTCTTCAAAATATCTAGAATTTCTTTTCCTATTTCTATAGTCGTCTTTTTCTATATATGACAGTATCTCGAGAAAAGACGACTCGTCTTTTTAACTGTCAAACGCGGATAATTCTGGACACACCTGGATTTGAAGGCTCAAATTTCACGTTTCTGAGACTAAGGTATGATTGGTCAAAAGCATGGCGCATCTGTCCCTTTAAGGAGATAATTGTGGTATTTGCTAGCTTATTCGATAAAACCCTTATCTGATCCGTTATTAAAATTTTCATAATGCAGTTAATAATTAAATGTTAGTACCACTGTTTTATTATTATTTTTACAAATATTAACAAGTTTTATTTTCATCAACCCAAAGACTATTAGTATATTACAAAAATTATTGGCAAAATGTAAATATTATGGTCAGACAGTAGCTTAATGCTTTCGTTTCCAACTGATTGGTTAATATATAACCAGTATACATAATATATTATATTATAAACTACTGTTAAAAATTAACCCAACTACTAATATGCCTCAAGAGTCTGTATGAGAAAAGGGTTTATTGTGTTACAAGTGAACAAGGAAAGGCTATTGGATGTGAAAGGCTTGCTAAAATTGAAATATGTATTTCATGTTGTGTTTGGCAAACAGGTTGGATTCAATAGTATTATTTGTTGTAGTTTGAGATACAATTACAGTTCATAATTTTTCTCACTCACCTTAAATTCGTCTATTTATAATTTGTCTTTCTTTTCCCCGGATGTTTTGAAGCCATTTTGCATCTTTGGTCGGTAATGGTTTAAAACGAGACTTCTGATTGGTCTACAGGCTGTAATTGTAACCAACCAGTAGCCTTGTATATAAAGTTTAAATATTTTATCACGTGCATATTTTCGAATTACTTTGCACTTTCAGAACTATATTATATTTATGGTCTTTTTTTTAAATAAACCCCTTTGGAGTCCTTGACCGTACACCAAACTTTATCCCTTTTTATCGCTTTTGTCATCGACTTTTTCTCACGTCCAAAAGTAATACACAATATTTCTACCTTATTTCAGGTAGCACAAATAAACCTTTATCAGGATCTGGGGTCATATTATGTGTTTATTATATGAGTACGGACATCTCTCGTATGAAAATTTTGTTCTGATTGATTAAAATCATATAAGCTTTTCGAACACGACAGTAGAATGGGAAGGGAAATGAATAAAAATGTTGTTTATTTGGTGGGTATAAGATACTAAACAACAATTTTCAGGCATTTAAAAGCAGATACCTGGAAGCATCACTTGTAACATCCAATATCTGGATGTATGCTGGGAGCGAAACACAGATCTGCAGATAAGAAAGGGATCACCATTCGCGTCCAATTATCCCGCCTGCGTTCCATCATTAGGTATTCAAATGGCTAGGTCATCGCCAATTTAAACCAAGAACCCTTAGCAATAAAATGATGCATTGGTGGATTTCGTGCGTGGTGTGATCACATTTACAAAACGAATGGTATGTCAAAGCGTGTTGATTGGCTTGATTGAGAATCACGTGGCATCATAAATATTTATTATCTCGGTCTCTAATACGAGCCTACCTACTAAAGAGACAGTATGTAATAGTTTCGGATATGTTAAAAGAGACAATAGCCTTGGAATTATTATAAAACCATGAAATAGAAGATGAGATATTAAGAAAATTTAGAAATATAAGATTTTAATTCATAAAATAATACATCAAAATTCCATGCCATTTTAAATAAAATTCATAAAACCCATTTTAAAACCCCTTCATGTCGTTACCTTTACAAATTACACCAAGAAAATTACAAATTCGAAAAACAACAATATTTACAGAAACAAAGTGTTAATAATAAACGTCTTATATGATGATGTATTAAGTCAATTGATTTATCCAGGTTTTATGTTTTGACCAATGATTCTTAGAGTTCGCTAATTTTAAAAGCTATGGTATTCTATACATTATTGGTTAAATTTAATTTTTGATTGTCATTGGCAGATAGACTAGAATATCAAAGATAAGAAGGGCTTTTTGTGTCCGGAAAATACAGCAAAATCAGTAACCCTGAAGACTAAACTGGTAAAACCAAACAAATAATCAGGTGTACAATATTAAATGCAACAATAAGGATTTCAAACTTATTTATTTTTCTTGAATTTCTTATTTTAACCATTTCAACAACAAAAAATGTTCCACTTTTCATGAGAAATTCAGAAAGATCGTATTTTTTGAGGGATATGTTTTGGTTGTCACCCAAAAAAGTATTTTATAACTCATATGCTCCTGGATTAAGTACAAGAAATGCTTTTGGTTTGCTGTACAATGAATTCATATACATGTACTGGTTTACTGTACAGTTAATTCATATACATGTACTGGTTTGCTGTACAATTAATTCATATACATGTACTGGTTTGCTGTACAGTTAATTCATATACATGTACTGGTTTGCTGTACAATTAATTCATATACATGTACTGGTTTGCTGTACAATGAATTCATATACATGTACTGGTTTGCTGTACAATTAATTCATATACATGTACTGGTTTGCTGTACAGTTAATTCATATACATGTACTGGTTTGCTGTACAATTAATTCATATACATGTACTGGTTTGCTGTACAATTAATTCATATACATGTACTGGTTTGCTGTACAATTAATTCATATACATGTACATAAACTAGGAAAGTAACTGACAATTTTTCAGTTACCACATATAGATGGAATGTAAGGAATTGCACATTTAAAAATCTTTGCAAGAAATATTAGACAGTTCAATAGGAAAATTGGTCCAACAAACATTTAAAGGTAGATATAAAATAAAACTTTCTACAAAATATGACAATGATATATTTTTGCCTTTCATTTTAAAAGAAATGATATTGATGAAATCCTCAATGAGGTATTTGTATCACTTTTCAAAAATAATGAAATCAGACACATGATTCTGCTACAATTCGACAAAAAAAAACACTTTATTTTTTAGATCTTGGCAGTTATATTATTTTCTAAAGAACAATTAAAAAATATTTTCACTGTTAAAATAGTGCTCAATACATCAATTGTTAAGTGATTATAAATATTAAATCAGAACCTGAAACATGTTGTTATTCAGAATTTCATGCTGTGCAATGTCTGGAGATCTCACAGTGTGAAACATGTTTCAGGTTCTTTATAATGTTACTACTCTCTAAAGTATATGTGGTCAATATTTTGTTGCTGAACATTAGGCGAACCATATGTTTGAATATCATTCTGAAAAGCAATACGAATAGCTGAAATTTAGCTCTATCATTTCTTAAAATCAATTATTTAGGCGACTATATCCCATTGGCAGGTAATAAGGCAACCATTAAATTCCATGTGATCATCACATTGCACCATAAATACTGAGAATATCTGAAACTAAAAGAAATATTTAATGGTTATGGTGCAAGTGCCCAAAAGAAATATTCAATGGTTATAGTGAAGGTGTCCAAAAGAAATATTAGTCCAAAAGAAATATTAAATGGTTATAAGTGTCCAAAAGAAATATTCAATGGTTATTGCGAAAGTGTCCAAAGGAAATATTAAATGGTTATAAGTGTCCAAAGGAAATATTTAATAGTTATAAGTGTTCAAAGGAAATATTTAATGGTTATATTAAAATTGTCCAAAACAAATATTTAATGGTTATAAGTATCCAAAGGAACTATTCAATGGTTAAATCTATATTGTTGAATATTGTAAGGCAAGAATTGGTCACAAATACTGTTTTTATGAAGTTGGCCCATTCTTTCTCTGACACTGGTGGCACTAATGGAAGTTTAGTCAGGTCCATTGGTTCCTGAAGCAATTGGCATAATTTCAGGCTCCAAATCTTAGCTCATTGGGGTTGAAAATCTATCTAGATGAGCTCCTTTAAACCAAAAAAACTAAAGATTGTATCCTATCTTGATTGTTTATTTATCTTAGAAATTAAATTAGTCAACCAAAATAAACAGTTTAGGAGATTAGAGTCATTAATTATTATTTTGACTAGATATGGTCAATTTAGGTAAAGGTCGTGACCTGACATGGAAGGGGTCATGTACAGCTAATTGGGATGTCAGAAAAGATAATGATAATATACTGGTATAATTGAGAGAGGTTTCAATTTCTATTATAAATTGACTTCTACCCTAATATTATTTTATTATATCCTTATTGAGTGACATTTTCCAAATTAAGGCCCTTTAATGTGATCTCCTAACAAAGAAACACTAACAGTATCCCATCATCAATTAAAGTGACAGTTCGTCAACAGAAGTAAACAGAGAGGGTTCTAGGAGTTCAGACGAAATTTCATTTAAGGCATTTTCAGAATTCAAGATCTTGCATGTTGGGAGAGGGATGGCTATAAAATCAAAAACACATCTCGTACATTACATGATAATATGCTGTGGATGAATTAAAAAAATTGATTGGTCTCTTTATTAGAAAATGTTCTTTGACCAATGAAAGTAGTGTCTAAATGGCTAAAAGTTGCTGGTTTGAGATGATCCTTTCCTCAAACTCTTAAAGAATTTAATCACATTTGACTTCCTCACCAAGTTCAGTCAAAATCCAGCAAGATTTGTACCTTCTAGAGTGTATACGATCAATTGTGGATGAGAACAGACAGACAGATGGACACTTTTCATATGGGTGTTTGAAAATAAAATACAAATGAAGAATACAAAGTAGGGCTACATACCAGTTGAAATGATCAACCTAGACCAACATCTAATGACATCATAACAATAAAGCCTATTATACAACCCCATGATGCTAATTTACCATTTCCACTGAAATAATAAATCATATGGAGTTCTTAAGAGATTCAGCTTCTATTTGCACCATTCCAATTTCCAGATTTCAAATAAAACTGTCAAAGGAACTGTAATATTCTGGTCCTGTTTTTCAGGAATTACATTAACTACAGAAAATAGAACTAATAGAAGCAGCTTACATGTCCAAGTAATCCGAAACAGCCTGTCAAAATATTTCAACAGGCTGAAAAAGTCAGAAAAAGCAGGCCCTGTCTTTTTGTCTCTCCAGACTTATAAGCTGTGATTTCTGCAATTCCATTTAAACCTCGCAAAGAGTTTATGCGATACAAGCATATTTTGTGATTTTGTGATCATCAAAAAATCATTTTTTGTGGGTTTGCAGGAATATAAAAACTTTGTATAACCTATTTACTATCCCTTTATGTTATATTATCAAAAGATCCTGGTTAGATTTTTCAGTGCTGAGCAAATGCCCTTAAACCAACAAAGACAACCGGCAAATCAAATTCAATTAAGTCAAAGCACAAGTCACACAATTGAGAGAAATTCCACATGGATTAGTCATTCTACTTCAGATTAAAGATTATTAAACTTATGCAAATAAACTAAAGTGATAAAGGTATTTGACCTATATTCAGTAAGATTGAGGTCAAGTTATGGTGATTTATGACTGTATCTATCAATGTAATCTGGTTTGATAAGTCAGAAGATATAAATATAAGTACTTCACTAGTACTTCTACTGACAAATTACTATATAGTCTTAAATAGTCACTAGATTTATTGCCTTTTACTTATCAAAATTTGGTGATAAAATGTCAAATCTACTAATAAATACTCAAGGAAAATGTCTTATACCATGCATGCTTTTGGTTTTTGCATATTTAATGAAAATTCTTAATTTTCATTATCTAATTTAGGCTAATGAAATATTTTGTATTTGTCTACTTTTTTCAAATTCTAAATTGAGGGATCTTTAAAGTGCCTAGGCTGTAGCACACATGGCCATCTGAGCGACTGAAAGCTTTTTATATGTCAGCCCCTGGGACCTACATCACTGACTAGGGAAAAACAGGTTGAAAAATCCAAAGTATTATCTTGCCCATCTTTAACTTATAATTAGGTAAATTTTACAGAAATAAAAAAGAATTTTATCACAAAATTAGATGACATATCGTCACGCTTAAAAATGTTTACAAATTTATAACCAATTTCCCTTTTTTTCTTGGTACTAATTCTGACTTAACTATTTCACACTTCTGCAACTCTTATCAGTACTTGGCAGCCAACAATAGGAGTTTCCATGACGATTTAACCTAATCAAAATTCTTTTATTTTGGAGTTTTAAAAGATATATTTAACTAGTCTGTATTAAATAATCAGACATTGTTTATTTCATGTCAAACTGTGCAAGAAACAGTAAACGGGGGGAGACACTGTACAGAAGAATGTATGTTGCAGAAGGCAGAAAGGGGGAGGTTAAAAGGATTGTAAAGAGGTTTTCTAAATTTTTTATGTGTGTCGGGGTTACTGATAGCTTCAATTTGCATCGTTCCAATTATCATTCCAATGTCTGTGGTTCTTGCAATTCCACTAAAACTAAATCGTTTTATGACGCCACTAGAGGGGAACTGCATAGATATTAAAAGTAGCTTCCGGTAGCTCCAAATTGATGCTATCAGTGTTCCCGATACACAATTAAAGTTTAGAAAACCTCTTTACAACCGCTTTAACTTTGAGGGTTTGAAAGCCAACCTAATTTTGTTTAAGCCAACCTATGAACCATAAGGTTAGGGGATAGTCTATGTACCCAACCAAACCCAAAATACGAGGCTTGCTGAGAGAATACAGTGTATTTACCAAGATTTTAGGGTTAATCTAATTTTTAGTAGCAAGATAATGCCTCTTCTGTAAAACTTTACCCCTATACAAAACTTCTGACATTGATGATTTGTCGTCTGGGTGAGGGACAGAGAATAATTTATCACGTTCGTGTCAGACAGCAAACACAGATCAAAATGGCATTAATGAAGGAATCCATACGGTTGGAAACCAGGGCTTTAAGAAGTCAAGATTATTTTGATTTTTAGTTATCAAGAGAACACTAACCATGTTTGTGCTTCAGGAATGATATCATCAACAACAACATAAATCATAGCACCAGCTGCAAAGGCAAGAGCATATGGCAGGATGGGTTCAGCAATTACAATAGCAGCTGCTCCAAGAACACCAGCTATGGGTTCTACTAATCCACTTAATTGACCATACCTAAACAAAAACAGAAAACAAGCTTTATTTCTACTGTTCTGTTTTTCAAACCACATTGCTGTACTGTAAAGTTATCTAACAAAGGGAAGTAAATCTAGAAATAACACTAAAAGACCACAATAAATTTGTATTACTTGAGACCATGTGAATCACTATAAGGTATTTACTATGAGATTACATAAAGGAATTTCAAAGTTGTGCTTTATGAAATGGTACTTACCAAAAACATTTCCATAAGGACATGCCCGAACCTCTTAAAGGTAAACTAACAGCTAAACCTTCAGGAAAATTTTGAATACCAATTCCTATCGCTAAATTTCTGTAATAGACAGAAGTATAAGTGCAATATTGCATTACTGTTGAAATATGTTTACACATAACATTCATAATAAAGTAAGAATTGGTTCATTTGAATATATACACATTTAACTGGATATAGGGCCTAGTAGTAACATTAACTGATAACAAAATATAAATCAAATCAGGAATCAGAGTCTAAAATATTGCATAAACAAATGGATGTTTGCTAATAAAAACAGTCAAAAATCTTATAAAATTTGAAATTGAGAACCAAACTTACCTAGCACTTTCAAAAGTAGCTATTTTAGTTTTACCCACTGCACCAAAACCTACTCCTACAGCTAAACCCTCTGGTAAAAAACATAACAAGTATTGCTTATAGGTATTATAATGACATTGCAAAAGAATCTTTAATAAGAGCCGATTTCCAAATTCACATTAATTTTTTTTGTAAAATTTGCAACAACATAAGTAATAAAAAAAATTATGAATATGAATATTACAATAACAAAATATTTTCACTGTTAAAGGGACAGATGCCCCATTTGCAGGGGTTGATCTTTAATCTTGAAAATATGTAAATAGTCTTCTGAAGTACTAGAAATGTACGAAAATTGCATAATTCCTTTAAAATTACTACAAACAAGGCATTTTATTCACTTTTCCTAATTTTTTTTATATATCTTATCTTGATGAGTCATCATTTTAACATACAAACACAGATAATTCTGGTCACACATGGATTTGAAGGCTCAAATTTCAACAATGAGCTTGGAACACTATTAATGATTGGCTCAGCTAAAAAATTCCAATCTCTGAGACTAAAGTATGATTGGTGAAAAAAATGGCCCACCTGTCCCTTTAAAATAATACTCAATACATCAATTTTAGAGTGATATAGAAATATTAAAACAGAGCCTAAATATTATATAAATCTGAAATATTACCTGGAATGTTATGTATAGTGACAGCTATTATTAACAATAAAATACGTTTCCAACTACTTGCTGAATAACCACTAGATTTATTATAATCTTCTATATTATTATCATCTTGATAATTGTTACTAACATTTAGACCACCACCAGACACTGGTTTTCTTTGCCGAGCTGCTCTGGTATTTTTATAAGGTCCTATAACAACAAAATATATTTTTACAATAGTTAAAAAAAATATTGATGTCAAATCAGTGCAAAAAACATCAATATGAGCAGTTCACAATACTTTTAGGTAGTTTGCTTTAAATAGTAATAAGGGTAAACACTATAGATGGCTACTTTGTATAGTTTAGATTGTTACTTTATCTACCCAGTTTTTTAAGCCTGTTTCCTGATCCTTTTCATAATGTAAAGTTTATGAATAGAATTTGTTTGTGCCCTGCTCTTGTGCTTGCCCCATGCTTTACTGATGTGACCATTATTAGGTGAAAGCTGAATTAAATGACAAACACAGGGTTTACTCCTTTTCATTACTGAAAAGAAGACATACACCCACCAGCAGCTTTGATTGCAAGTACAAATCATTGTTTGTAGCCTGTAAGAGTGAGCACCAGCCAAGTGTGAACGGACAGACGAATGACAATATGTTTCCATACTACGTGTGGGCATATAACATCAAAAGAATCCATAAAGAATTGTTGCTTGAAGAGTGAGCAAAAGCATTATAATGTGGGAGGACAAAAATTATAAATCTTCTGCTGATCACTTTGTGTTTGATTTTTGAAGACTTATAGGTCGACCAGTATCTTAAACCTTATGGCTCACTATCAATTTTCTACAAGTATATTCCTTTGTAAGTTTAAAATTCAAATTACCTTCTGTTTCACTGTTAACTTGTATAGATTGTAAACTATTCGATATATCACCATCTTTATTTAATTTACCACCATTATCTAGTGATAGTGCTAGGTTTGTGCTACTTCCACCCTGCAAAGTATATAAACTTTAGCTTAAAATTAAGGATATCACGTCTGCTAAAAAAAACAGAATACAAGTAACATTTGATAACTTAACATAAGCTTATAGCAAATAAAATTCAACGTATGTAGTCAATTTTATGTGGGTTGTCTCTAAATACTATTGATAATATCTTCATTACAACTTGCTGTACCTCTTTCCAGATAGAAATATGGAAGCCTGTTTTCTTACAATCAAATGACAACACCTGCCACCTGAATTTTTCCCAAATTTCCAGGGCATTACTGCTATCAATAACAACAATAGCACATTTTATTCAATAATAAAGGCCTTAAGTTCCTAATACAGCAATATGTCCTATCTTCCCCTTCTTATCTTTTATAAGCTTATGTAATTTAATGCAATGTATGTTATTCTGTCTCAATTTGGTTTTTAACAGTTGGTACAGGAAGACTACTTATTTCATATCAACCTACCAAATGAGGCATCAAGACATCAGCCCCGTAAACAAACACAGCACCCAAAGCAAATCCTACAGCTACTGGTATAAATGCCCATTGTCCATCTTCACCATATAATTTAGATTGTTCAGCTGTTTCTATGGCTGGAGCTAATAATGACCAGTATGAAGCTGCTGTCATTACCTGCAATGAAAGCCCAAATAAAACATGATACATTCAAAATTCCACAGGCATATAGAGAGATTATTAATGACATCATAAACATAAGTTTATAGCAAAAATGAATAATCTTACAGATGCTTTGTTTTCTAATTTGTTTTCTTTTCATACATAGATAAGATAAGAATCTCTTTTCGCTTACCCCAGCAGCAAATCCAAGACTACCATCTAATATCTTTCTCTGAAGAAAAAATCCAAAACAAACTATATTAGCAACCAGGTAAGGTAAGCTTATTATAAAATGAGACAGTTATACTGATAGCAGATTTAAGTCAGGTGCAAAAGGGTGAGGGCAGATGGATGTGTTTAAAGACAATTCTACTAATATCTGTTAGTAGCCCTTTTCTTGTCATTTCATTCCTTCTTAACCTTTTAATCAGTGACTGTAAATTAAATATGCCTACATCATCATATTATACTGGTAGGCCTACTAATAGTACTATCAACTCCCCTTAATGCATAAGCTTCTCCATTGAGATCATACATCACTTTGCCCATATGTTGAAAGCATTAAGCTTAAATCATACAGGTACAATATCATTTTCATTTAAGCCTACAATGATATCAAACATGGTGGCTGAGCTATAATCTATAATCAACGTGGATTGGGAAATTTAGTGTTAAAGCATTGAGCGTGAGGTTTGCAATTATATTTACCTGCCCACTCTGGAATACAAATACAAGACCAGAACCCAGTGCTGTCAATCCCCATGTAAATAAAGTTCCCAACAAAGCTTGCCATACAGGATTTATTCCTTCGATCATCTTTATTTCTATTTCTTCAAAAAAGCAAAGTGCAAGTTGTCCATAGTAGACCTTTTGAGGTTTTCAAGAATGAAAACTAATCAAGGGGTGCAACTCTCAATACACTTCTTACGACCGGAAGTTTATAATAACATAGCAACGCTTCCAACATGGCTGCCATTGAAGAAAATAAATCGAATATGAATGACACTTCAACTTTTGAAGCTCCGGCCCCTGATTCTAAAGGTGAATTTGAAATTCATAGAATGGATACTGATATTCTGGTTGTAGATAAAGAAACTCCATTTGCCGAAGTGCTTGAAAATGTTATTTCTGATAATATACTTCAAGAAGAAGACGAAGAAGAAGATTTTGATGAAAATGTAGAGTTGTCTCCGGGTGGGGTTTTAGATGAAGAAACCATCGGTCGTGGTTTATCTAATTTGGGTCGGACTGCAGATGGAATGCACCAAGTTTATCTTCACTTGACAGTACCAGGCTTCAATTTGATTGACATCAGCATCCTGCAAGAGTATGTCCATTTACAAAAAGTGGAGTTTCCTCATAATGAGTTGACTGATCTGTCAGTTTTGAGTAATCTACCACATCTTCTCATCCTAGATGCATCACACAATAAACTGACGACCATCTTGGATTTTACACCACCAAAAAACCTTCAAATAGTTGACTTGTCGTATAATGAAATTGAAGTCATAACAGATTTGTCTGCTCATCATTCCTTGAAGAAACTCAACTTAAGTTACAACAAAATCTCAGAAATTAATGGTCTCTCTGGCTGTAAACGCTTGGAGGATTTAAATTTGGCACACAATCGAATCAAATGCATGAAAAATTTAGATGGATTACCAATTCAAGTACTAAATTTAGGACACAATGAGTTGAACATGATCGAGAACCTGGATAGTTTAGATCGTTTAAGAAGTTTGGATTTATCTGGGAACAAAGTAAGAAGTTTGGCTGGCGTAGAAGGACATGATTTATTAGAATTTCTTAATTTGGAGGATAATGAAGTCATAGATTTAGCTGAAATCAAGTACCTCAAAGATTTAAGAATGTTCAGAAGTATTGATCTACATAGAAATCCCATTCAAGAGTTACCAGAGTACAGATTGTGTATTTTGTTTCGCTTACAATCTTTAACAGAATTAGATAAGCATAAAGTTGATGCTGAAGAAAAGGTAGCAGCCAGAAATATGTTTGATCCACCAGCTGAAGTTGTTGCTGCTAGAGATCACATCATGCATGTGGTTTACTCTTTCCTTCAACCAGCACAGATTCATGACAGGTATTTAGCAATTTTAGCGAGACATTTTCAGATGGTTATAGACCAAAGATTCGAGCACATTTGATGGTCTTTTGTGGACATTTAGATATATGTCCTTATCAGGATAACTGAATTTCAATACCTTCATTAGGAATTTTGGCATGAGCAAGGCATAAAATGAATTCGATTCATATTATAATATTCACCTGAAAGCTAAGCATAAAATTTGAAACTGTTTTTTTTTAATGTTTTGTGTAATCTTTTTTTTACATTTCAGTACCCTACCATCATCAGATACACCATATCCAATGTTAGTTTTAGTGGGTCCACAAGGTTCTGGAAAGAAAGATTTAGGATTGAAGTTGGTGGAAGAGTTCTCAGATTTCTTTGGTTTTGGTGTGTCACATACAACAAGGAGTCCTTACACTGGAGAAGAGAATGGATTTGATTACCACTTTGTATCTTTAGAAAAGTTTGAAGATGACATCAAAATGGGTAAATTTCTTCAAACCTGTCAACATCATGGTTCATGGTACGGCTTACAAATGGATTCCATACAAAGCGTTGCCAAAGATGGCCTGGCTTGTGTGGTTCACATGGAATTGGAAGGCGTCCTCACTTTGAAAAATACCCATTTTGAACCTCGATATGTTCTGATAATGCCACTGGACAAAGAAAGTCATGAGAGACGTTTACGTGATCGTGGTATTTTTACTGATGAAGAAATTCTAGAAATTGTGAAAACAGCCGAGACATACAGTAGTTATAATCAAGATCATCCTGGATTCTTTGACATGATGGTTAACTCTAATGATATACAAGAAGCTTATATTCAGCTTCGAAAGTTGGTTATGGATTACTTAGGTATTGGTCCACCATCACCCACTACAGAGAATCAACTTGAATCACCATCTAAGGTTGAAGCTGTTGATCATTTTCCAACACCAAATAACACCACCAACATCCTGACTAGAACATGGTCACGACCGAGTATGAGTGAGAGCCTGTCCATTCGAGCACCCTCTGGCATTGTGGAAGAAGAATCCTTTAAGTTAAGATTAAGTGCTGCAAAAGGCGTGGTAGCAGGCTATATTCCACCATTATATGAAAAACTTCTTGAAAGTTGTCCAAGAACAGCACCTCAGTCAGCGGGAAACCAAATTGGTCTTGGTGATGATCAAAGAGCTCTATCAGCTCCTGCCAAAAATACAGGTCGTAAGGGTCCAATTCGAATGGATTCTCCAGACTCTAGTGCCAGTAACATCTCAACTTCAGATCTATCAGATCTTGATTCTGCTGCAGAATTACATAAGGGCAATCTTGACCCCTCTCATAAATTTAAAACTGTAGTGAACCCTCTAGAATTTCCTGATGACCTAATGAAATCCAATAATTCTTCAGCACTAAATGCCCCCAGACCACCGTCAACCAATAGACCTGATTCTCAGAATTCTAAACGTTACCGTCCTGGATCAGAGAAGCGTATGGTTTTACCACCCATACAACCTGTTCATTAACGGTGTTTTTGTTACCACTTCAAACCTTCAATGTGTACAATGGAAATACAATGTAATCTTTTTAAGACTGTTTTGATTATTGTATGCTTTCATTTAAAAACTCAGATGAATGATTATACTATAATGATGAAGTGCATGTCCAAACAAGCATTTTAATCATGAAAAGTATGAATATCATGTTGTATAATCATAATACAATGCTACCAATTTACCACAGAGAGCTTTTACAGAAACAATTCCAAGTTATGTAGCTTTGTTGTTTGTTTATCTGTGATTGAATTGTACAAAATATTATTTATATATAATGTTAATTTAAATTCTCTGTAATATACATGTCAACATTTAGATGTTTGGGTTGTTTTTACATATCTGAAACAAGAGTTTCATAGTTAAATGCATGATAACATTAATGGATCAATTTGTGTCAATGATGTTTCATGCATGTGAGTAACAATGAGGGTTCAATGATGGTTCCATGCATCTTGAGTGACAATGATGGTTCCATGCATCTTGAGTGACAATGATTGTGTCAAGACATCTGAGTGACAATGATGGTTCCATGCATTTTGAGTGACAATGATTGTGTCAAGACATCTTGAGTGACAATGATTGTGTCAAGACATCTTGAGTGACAATGATTGTGTCAAGACATCTGAGTGATGATGATGGTTCCATGCATCTTGAGTGACAATGATTGAGTCAATGCATCTTATGTGACAATGATTGTGTCAAGGCATCTGATGATAATGGTTCCATGCATCTGAATGATTGTTGCTTGTAAGTACGATGAGTTCTGGATTTAGAGTGACAATGATGGTTGCTTCATGTATCCTAAGGGACATTGATAATTGTATGCATCTTGATTGCTTGGATGAATGCCAATCCATATTGAAAGGTGCATCATTTTTTGAAAGGTGATCAACTTTAATAAACCCATAAGAGCCCATATCAACTTTTGATTGAGTGTTAGTAGTAATGTGTAGACCACACCAAAAAATAATCAAAAAACCTTGTGCAATTTATATTAATTTATGTGATGAAAAGTATAAGTGTTACAAGATACGAACTTGTTGTTCAGAAATGCAAAATCTCAAAAAGTTTTAAATACACATGGAATAACAAGAAGTTATCAAATACAACTAAACAATGATATTGCAGGTTTGAACCAAATTCTGCATGATTCAGTTCTGTTTGTTAACTAACAAAAAGACAAAAATATAACAAAATAATGATGATGATACTGACATGATTAATCCAAAACAATATATTTAGTTCTCGTTCTAAACTTAACTAAGTATTTATAAAATATAACAAAACAATAATCATGTTGGCATGATTCAGTTATTTTCAAAACTTACAAAAAATTATCAAATATAACAAACCAATTATGATTTTGTCATGATCTAATTATTCTAAGCAATGATCCATACAATGATGTTTGCATGATTTATTTCTTATTTTAAACTTAATAATATATAACAAAATTTGGCAAGACAATAATGATGCTTGCATATTTCAGTTATCGTTCTTTAATTACCATGGATTTATAAAATATAACAAAACAATAATCATGTTTGCATGATTCAGTTATTATTCTAAACTTACAAAGAGATGATCAAAAATAACAAAAATAATCATGTTTGCATGATTCATTTATTATTCTAAACTTACAAAGAGATGATCAATTATAACACAAAAATAATCAAGTTTGCATGATTCAGTTATTATTCTAAACTTACAAAGAGATGATCAATTATAACACAAAAATAATCAAGTTTGCATGATTCAGTTATTATTCTAAACTTACAAAGAGATGATCAATTATAACACAACAAAAATAATGATGATTTGCATGATTCAAAACTTTCAAAGCTTTTATCCAATATAGCACAAAAATGGTTCAGATCTCATTCCAAACTTACAAAGGTTTTTTTTTTCAACAAAAGTAACAAAACAATGATAATTTTTGAATGAATCTTGCTCAAATGATTATCTTAAAGGATGGCAGATCAATTTATTGTAGTTTTTATAATTTTTTTCTATAGCACTAGTTACTAAAATCTATACCCAAGCCTCCCATCCTTGCCAAACACGACCCAATATATTGGGATCAGTAGCTTGATCTATTAAGGCTTCAACTTGTTGTTCAACTGTTAGTCCTGTAGAAGGTAAAGTAGCACGAACATTGTCCTTAGCATCTCCTAATACACACTTCTCAAAATGTT